CGAAACGAAGTAGAATTGAATGAGACTCACTGGAAGAACTGCTCAAATCGACTTGAACCGAGCATGAGTCTATTCGAATCGTGCGAAGGCCGATATGTGGGGCTTAGCTATTTTGCGCAACACCTCGCAGGACACCTTAGGACGGCGCTGAGCGGCTCTCAGCACCGAAGGTGTGCTCACTGGCACTGAAGGCCCTGCATGAAATAGCTTTGTGACAAAGTTGACACGTCAAACGTTCTTGCGCCGTCCTGTGGAACGGGGGCAAATCCTTCTTAAGCCCGCCCTCCTCATCGTTCATCCTTGCTTGTTTGGCAAACCACATGTTCAGCTTCGGAGAAGCTTGCTGCCTTGAATGTGTCGAGGATGCTGACAAGCAAGCACAGCTCACAACTCACTACGACTTGAGCAATGGCTGACCGCAGGCAAGAAGCCACTCTGGAGGACCATCAAAATATCCATCTGGGGCAGCAGATGGAACACCTCTACCCAGCTTCCTGCAACGGAAGTGGCATCAAAAGTGCATTCTGGAGGTGGAGCTGGAGAGATGCTCAACATGCAGATCTATATTCAAACTCAGACCGCTTTATGGTGTAAGGAAGCAAATCAAACCGAAGAACAAATCCACCGAAGAGCTCCGCTGAAAAGGTAGAGAGAACGAGGGAGAGGGAGAGAAGAGGGAGAGGGACAAGGAGGGAGAGAAGAGAGAGGAGGGAGAGGAGGTGGAGGAGGAAGAGGAGGGAGAGGAGGCAGAGGAGAGACAAGACGGAGAGAAGGAAGAGAAGGGAGTGAAGGGAGAGAAGGAGAGAAGGGAAAGAAGAAAAAGAGGAAGACAAAAAAAGAGAGGAAGAGAGCAAGAGAGCAAGAGAGGAAGAGAGGAAGAGAGGAAGAGAGGAACAGAGGAACAGAGGAACAGAGGAACAGAGGAACAGAGGAACAGAGAAAGCGAGGAACAGAGGAACAGAGAAAGCGAGGAAGAGAGGAAGAGACAAGAGAACAAGAGAAGAAGAGAAGAAGAGAAGAAGAGAAGAAGAGAAGAAGAGAAGAAGAGAAGAAGAGAAGAAGAGAAGAAGAGAAGAAGAGAAGAAGAGAAGAAGAGAAGAAGAGAAGAAGAGAAGAAGATAGCCCCCCAGCCTTCGCGCCCCGCCCCCCCCCTCCCAGCTCAGCCCGACCACCCTGCAGCCAGCTTAAGCCCATGCTTACACCTCGTGGCCCCCTGCTGCTGGAGTTCCTGGCAATCAATTTGCGCTGCTTTGCCCAACCGGCATGATTTGCTCAAGCCAGCGTTGCTCTTATGGTTCCTTTGAGTCAAGGCGGGCAGCGCACCTGGTCCCACAAATCTCGGAAACTGACATGCGGGATACCCACAACCCTTCTCGCCTCCAGAACTCAACCTTCGCTGCTTCCTGCTCTTGCCCCACACGTTCCCTACACAACTCCTCTTGGCCATTTGTGCGTCAAATGATGTTTACTACCCAAATTAATAAACTTAGCTCCCTTCACGCCTTTCATCTGAGTGAAAGAGTAGCGATCCCCCGCCAAGCTCTGTGAGGCCGCTCGCACTGGACGCGTGCTTGGCAAACCAGGCATCCAACTTGAATCTAAAGCACGGTGCGGTAATCTATAAGGACATGTCAATGTGGGAAGCCAAACGAACCAGCATGTGACGCACAGGTCCTGTCAAAGACTGTACCTTTGCTGGGTTCGTCTGGGTGGAGCCTGCGTGCAAAAACGCACAAGTCCGCATAGCTGTTCATACGCTGGCTAAAACAAGTCCTGCAACCCGTCCGTCCTGTCTGCTTGACGAGGCGTTGCTCCATACACTTCAGCCTGTCTGTCCAAACGTGTGATGCTTGAGTCGCTTGAATCTTTGGTGCTGGAGGCGCAGACCTTGGGGCCACGCCTGACGACTTTCCTCCGACCGCAGCCATGCCAAGTGTGCGCCTCTCTCCAACTTGAGTCATTTATCTGCTGACCGGTCGCGGCCGCCGCCCAACGTGGCACCGCCAAGCAAGAACTGCAAAAGCCCCAACCACGCAAACCTCAGGCGGGTCCGACTGGTGACAGCAGGTCAGCGTTTCTTCTCTCCCCCCCTCTCTCTCTCTCTCTCTCTCTCTCTTTCTCTCTCTCTCTCTCTCTCTCTCTCTCTCTCTCTGCTGCTTTGCTGCTGCTTCCCTCCAGGCCCCAGGCCAAGGTCAGCAGCAAAGGTATCAGCACTGCCGTAGGCCTTGTTGTGGCTGTTCTGTTTGATTCTCTTTCATGTGCAGATTCACACTGGTGAGGCTCTGGCAGCCCTGCGCCATCTTCCTGGCCACACACGCATTCGCCATTCAAATGCCATGTCACCACAAGGCAAGCTGGCTGCCGGTGGATCTGTTGTAACTCGCACAGGCAGGGTCGGCACCTGCGTTCCGAAGTGTGGTTCACTAGGCATTCCAATGGTGCACAAGGTGAATTGCAGTTCATGTTGCTGGCCTTTGTTGAGCTTAGTGTGCAACATGGGCAAGAAGGCCCACACTGCCGATCTGCCTTAGTGGCTAGCTAGCTCAGCGGTGTGAGTCAGTTTGCGTGGCTCTGACAAGGGCTCTTAGAAGGAGCGCGCAAGCAAAGGCAGAAATACTCCATGCCTCAATGATGCGGCATAAGCTCGGGCGAGGGCAACCTCTCTCACAGCGCATCCACTGCCAAAAGAAACCTTGGCGGGAGAGTCGGGAGTAATTACTTTCCTTTTCATCGATCTGCAAACCGCAAAGATCCATCTTGGCCTGACATCTCATTTCGGAGCGTTGGTCGTCCCTGTGTCTGTGGCAAATGTCACCCATGCTTGCACGCATTCTCATACGCACAGTCTCGCAAAATCCCGGCTCCAGCTGCCACTACGGAAGCCCCAGGGCCGGAACCCTTCGAGAAAGGGATCTTGCCCCCTTCAAAACCAATCACAAACCACTCAAGTTCCCCCTCAAAGCCGGTCCAACTCCGGTCAAAACCGGCCAAATTCACAAAACTTCCCCTAGAAAACCGGTCAACTTCACAAATCGACTCTAAAGACCGGTCCAAGCCGATCCAACTCCAGTCAAATCCCTTGGAAAACCAGTAACAATGCCAAGCGAAGAAGCTGGTCAATCCTTTTTCTAGGCACCTGTCACATACAGCCCTATAAAACGGTCCCCAAGCAACCAGCAAAATTCCCCAAAAAACACAAGCAAATTCTCCAGAAATTTGCACCTTCGCTTGGCCCAAGCCCGCAGCCATTCTGTAGCTACCGGAGGACATGTGGAATCACGCGGACAGTCGGACATGCACCCACCCTCACGCATTTCGAGTCCAGCTCACGCATTTCGATCAGCACAAGACTAAAGCATGGTATATCGGTATATACCTCACGGCTTGCCAAAAGCGGACTGGCCGAGGCGGGCAACGCGAAGCGCTTACAATTCAACTAGCTCACGAGGGAAAACACAAGCTTCATGCATGTTGTGGTGCGCGACAGAGGCTTGTCGGCAGCAGATGAACAAGCTCCAAGTCCGAAAAAAAAGGTAACAGACGCAGCAAGTGTGACTGAGCTCGACAGATTTCAAGCAGTCTCGTACACAACCACAACTCGGTTTCGATGCTGCTTTCAAGGCAGACATCCTGCTGCTCAAACGTTTCACTCAAAGCAACCTGCAACTGTCCATCCAAGCCGAAAGGTGCAGTTGACACCTCTCAGGCGCCGACACATTCCCATCCTGCCTGCACTCCTCGCGTCGTGGTTTGCGTAGTCTCCTGGGTAAGGCTCTCACTGGAAATAGCAGCACATCATCCTCCCGTCTCAGCACAAAGGCATGTGGATGCGTTGTGACTGTGAGCAGAGGTCTCAAAGTGTACAGTAACAACAAAGAGCTATTTTGCGAATTGGACCCTTCAAGACCAGCTGAGGATAGGACTGTTAAAGTCACAAAGGTGCGTGTGCTAGTTGAAGTCTTGGATGAAGTTGCGGTGCTTGTGGCCTTGGCGTTCAAAGCTCCCTGCGGTTGCTTTCCATGTGTGTTGAATTGGTACCTTGCGCCTTTTGCTCGCGAAGCAAAACTACTGGCGGCAAAACCTTGCAAATCCAGTAAGACTCTGACTGGACAAACTGGCTCTGGTCCGAAGCAAATTTCTGAATCTGATGGTATGGTATGATCGCGACCTTGGAAGCTGCTCAGCAGTTGGAATTCATTAATGTCATAATCACACACTGTCAGCTGGCTAGTGGCTCTTCTGAATGCGTCTGCTGGCTCGCTTGAATTGCCATTGCAACCGCGTCGCAAGATAATTACCATGGCATTTGTGCGTCTCAACACCGCTTGCAAGCTGACTGTGATCAAAACTCGAGCTTTCGACTGCGCTGAGATCTGCGCAGTCCCATTCCGTAACGCCAGAAGTGCATGCGCGAGGATTTGAACAGGTCCGATAGCAAAATACCTGCAACTGTAGCTCGATCCTCAAAGCACTCCCATAAGGTTGCCACACTAGGGCACTTCTCGGCTACGAGTGCCAATTTCGCAAGTCGCAGAACAAGAAGACCAATCGCCGACGTAGTAAGAGAACTCAGGAACCTCTGCTCTCAACTTATGCGCCCGACAAGCAGGCTGAAAGCGAACCAATGTCAACGTCCAGCAGGTCTTCTGAGTCCGCCAGCTCCAAGCGGAGCCAAAAAAAGATGAAACCTTGCCTCATATTGAGGGCCCGCCCCCGTGATTCCGGGACGCCCTCTTTTATCCCATGCCAAATTGCTGCAAATCAGGGGCGTCGGACCGCATGCGGGCATCAACATCAACAAAAACCAGGTCGGCAAACAACGGAAAGCGCACTCCCTCCGTCCCGGTCCTGCCGAGTCCCCATTGGCGCAAGTCTGAACTGAGGGGAAAAAGAACGGCTAAAAAATAGGCGTCCTTTTTGGTGGACATGTGCGAGCAACCAGTATCGGACCGCCCGGCCCTTTTTTCTCTTCTGATCTGCGTCTGTGTCTGTCGTTACCTACTGAAGAAGCGAGCGCCCGCAGGCCGAAAGCGATAGCCAGTGAGAGCGCTAAAAGCACTCAAAAAGACGCCTAAATTTTAGGCGTCTTTTTTGAAGCCAAAACGCCGAAAAACAAAACTTAGACGAAGCCCAAGCACCAGCATCCCCAGCATCCCCGGCATCCCGAGCATCCCGCGCACTTGCTGAGCCGCCAGCACCCCCAGCATCCCCAGCATCCCCGAGGCAGGTCCAAGCGCGAAACACGCAAGCAGTAAGCAAGCAAAGAGACGCGGAGAAATAGCCGTCTTTTTTTGACCCAGAAAAGACAACAAAAGGCACGCAAAACGAGCCAGCTCAACGCAGAAAGCACCTCGCAAAGCATGGTAAAACACAGGTGTTTGCGCAGAAATGCAGCGAGCGAGCAATTCCCGGACAGATGGAAAAGACACCCAAATTTTAGTCGTCTTTTTTGGACGCAAAAATCTTCCCCCCCCCCCCCGCCCCGTGGCCCAACTCTCAACCGCTTCAAAGAAGCGCTTTCCGTCATCAGGAGCATATCCTGCTCATGGCCCATGCATGGCCAACAACAACAGCGTTCCCATTAGTCAAGTAGGCTCCTTGCACTCCCCCAGTGTTTCCTTAATATTCCCCTAATATTCCCCTAATATTCCTAAGAATTTCCTCAGTATTCCCCTAGTATTGTCCTAGTAAAATTTGATAAAGTCATTAAATATATAAGAGTTCATAAGGAAAGAATCCAGAGGTCCCAACGTTGTTGAGTATTGTGTTTAAATGTTTACTGATTTGAAAAGACACGTCTATTGGAAAGGGAATCCTGTGCAACATTTGATATGAAATAGAATAATCATTATTATAATTCCAATTTAAATATTCCCCCAGTATTTCCTCGGTATTCCCCTAGTATTATCCTACCATAATTTGATAAGATATCAAGTATTAGTTCATAAGGAAAGAATTCAGGTCCCAAATTTGCTCAATATGGTTGTTCAATGTTTACTCATTTGAAAGACACGTCTTAGAAAAAGGAATCATGTGCACAATGTGAGTTGAACGAGGACGATCATTGCTACAATTCCAATTTAAAACAGGCATTCAGATTTGGTTCTTTCCTATTAAAGTCTCTCTAATTTCAGTTACAAATGGAGTAGAGTGTGACAAAGATATTACGTAGCAGCATGGCTTAGATTGTCCAACCGTGTCCTCTTGGCTGGTGATGCAGGAGCCTTGCAATCTAGAATTTGTCTGTGTTAAACCAGGTTGCCCAAAGTGAAATACTAAAGGAATACAAGGGGGCTACTTAGACTAAGGGCTAGGTGTGCAGTGGAGACTTCAGGCAGAGATACATGAGAGAAAAAAAAATAAACCGAGGAAACAAAAACACAAGGAATTACTAAGGAAATGCCAGGGGAATACTAGAGGATATACCCAGAGAATACTATCGGGATACCAGGGCAAAATTGGGTGAATTCTTGGGGAAAGGGGATACTAAGGGAACACTGAGGAAATACCAGAGGGTATACCAAGAGAATACTAAGGGAATACTAGGGTCAGACAGAGAAGCGAGAAGAACAAAAAGAACAAACAAACCTCGAGAAAACCAAAAAAAGCAAGAATAAACACTAAAAGACTTCGAGAAACCCAACAAAACCAAAACAAAAACAAAAAAACATATCTGGAAACTCTGTGGATGACCACAACTTGCGAAGACTCTCTGAATATTGTTGTATTGTGTTGTTCGTGAGTTTTGTTTTCTCAAGGTGTTTGGTTGTTTTGCTTGGTTTCTCAAGTTGCTTTTTTGGTGTAGGTACGAACACGGAAGGATCATAAGACTCTCTGGATATTGTGTTGTTTGTCTTTCTGGTTTTCTCGAGGTTTGTTGTCTTTTTACACAGATGCAAGCTCAGATGCAAATGGCTCAGGGCTCACAAAGGCAAAAATCGTCTAGTCGCCAGCGTCTGCACAGGCAAAAACATAGTATTTACAGCATTTTGGAAGCTTTGGAACTGTAACACTACATCCCTGTGAGCGGCCCTGCTGTTCAAGGAACTCCTTTTGAGAAGGTTCCTTCCGAACCTTTCCTGGTCGTTTCCCTGAATGGGGGGGGTGGTTGAGGGTACCAGTTTCGACTTTGGTCGAAAGGGAAACCAAAAGAAATGGAGTGTAGCTTGCTTGCTAAAAAAAAGTTCTGAGACACAACACGGACCTACAATGAAACAATAGGTCCTTGATATACCCTTCAGAAATGTGAAACAAATCGTGCAAGCACAACAATGCTAACACCAGGTCAAGTAGAACACGCGCGCGCGCGTTACAGCGAAACATCCGTTTCGGGTGTCCTGTGAGGACCTGGCAGAATGGTGAACATAAAACAGCACGACACGTATACACGGCTGCCCGCACGCACACACACACACACAAACTCATACACACATGGAACTTGCCCACGAGAGGATCAGGTGTTGAGGCACGCACCGTTTGGTGTCCTTTGGGGACGTTTCAAACAATTCCAAACAACATGCCCAAGGCGCCCGGCAAAGATCTTTCAAACAGCCACAGATCACTACAACCCGCAAAAGGAACAAACTGCTGCTCGCGTACATCAGGCGGAGAATACACATGCCTAACAGCAAACACCATCTCCGACTGATGAGCGGGACATGCTAACCTGCAAACAGCCCATCTGAAAATCGTGAGCTCGGCCGCTTGAGCGAAACCCAAACCCAAGAAGGCTCCTGCACTCGTGCAGGGTGTTTCAATCTTTCAGGCACTACATATGAGCAAACAAAGCCCTACTTCTGCTTGGGCGAAAACTGTCACGTGCTTGCGCTGAGAGGCGAGAAACAACAAACATCCTTCTAGCGCTCTGCAGGAGGTTGTCTTTTATGGAAGGCGGCAAGAGGCTTTCTGGCACCACACCTGCCCACCCGCGAAAAAAGCGCCTTACAGCGCCCATTGTACAGGGATTAGGAGCGACCAATAATTGTTGCTTCATACAAGACGTGGCTGTGCGCCATTCACAAAAGCTCCCGCCAACTCTTCTGCAGCGACCTTTGAAACTTGTGGGCAACCTGATGAGCAACAATAAAATACCAAATTCAATCGTGAAGCAAAATAAAGCAAAAGAAACTGTTCCTGCTTGACAGCAAAGTGTCGGACGGCAAGCTGACAACGTCACTAACTACAGCATGTCCTAACTGTCTTTCATTCAGTTGGCAGAGCTAAAACCCCGTTCACGCGAAAAAATAGAGTTCGAGTATCCTACAGCACCCAGCTGGCATCCAATGTAGAACATGTGCAATCAAAAAGAACGCTCGCAAGTTTGGCAGTGCGAGCCGGAGGCGTTTAATGAAGGTTCAAGTCCTCAAACTGTATGTCGAAAGTGCCTGCAAGTTAGCTTTTAGGATGGTTCCACCTCATGCATGTTTCCCAGAATCTATCAACTTAACGATTCAGACATTATTCGCGGAAATGATTAGCAGGGGCAAAGGGGCTGAACATATGTGAGCCATCTGTCCTACTGCATTGCAATAATAACCCAGTTGTTTCAAGGCAAACATAATGCCAAGATATGCCAAGCTGCTGTGCTTGTGGTTGTTGTCGAATTTTCGATGGTGGTTGAAGTCGAAGCTGCCGGAAGGGCAAGGACCTTGGAGAAAAGTACACACAGTCGGCTCAAGTCTGGCGAGGCAAGAGCCAAGAAGCGAACTGCAAGTCGGATAAACCATTCTGAGTGGCAAGTGGCCTTTGCTGCAAGCTGAAATGCGTGCCTCTCTCTCTTGCTTTTCTTGCTCGCTCTCATCATGAGAGGCTTGCTCGGTCGGAGTTCATGAGTTCTCCAATCCGTCCCGAACATGTCGAACGCCTTAGTGAGGTGGCATGAGCTACTAAACAGTTCCGTGTGCTCACATCAACCTCAGTTCCGGACTCGACCATGCATAGCTACATCCTTTGGATGTACCCGTGGGACCGTGAATTAGCCATGAGTCTGCTGCGTACGCGCTTCCGGCTTTCACTATGACATTTAGTATGTTCAAATATGTCAGTTGCATACCCAATCACAGCTTTGCTCTGTCAAATGTGTGTGTGTGTGTGTGTTTTGGGGAGGAGGCTGATGGCAAAGCTTCTTCATAGTCATGAGGTTCCTAGAACAACTGCAGAAGGACACCTGAAAGCCAGCAGATGAGCCTACCTAAGTTCTAGAATGGGTTGACGCCAAGCACATTTTTGCCACGCATTGATCAAAGACTTCAGAATCGCTCTCTGAACCAACGCCTTGGCCCATCTGACCCCGTGCAAAGCCCAACGTGGTGGCATGCTGCATCTCCCAGCACGCCTAAACATGTCGCGATGATCATCACGTTGAACGCCAAGCGCCTCGCCACTGAGGCGCTCATGCTCCAAGACAAATAGCGCCAAAAAGCTGCAATGCTTGATTGATCGAATTTTGTGCACTCTCTGCTATAGCATAGAGATTCGTTGTATTGTCGCTAGTACGTGTCGCCACTTCATTTTCAGCAAAAGACAACCTCCAGTTGGTACACAATTGCCAGAAAAGTGGCGGGTGATATTGCGGCCTTGCATATACTCCGTTTGCTCTAGCTCACATAGCTAACAGTCAAAAAATGTGTTTTCCTGAAGTAAATCCTTTGCATGTTTACAACAGTTGATGATCATGATGATTTTGATGATGATGATTATTATTATTATTATTAATAATATTATTATTATTATTATTATTATGATGATGATGATGATGATATATGATGATGATGATGATGATGATGATGATGATGATGATGATGATGATGATGATGATGATGATGATGATGATGATGATGATGATGATGATGATGATGATGATGATGATGATGATGATGATGATGATGATGATGATGATGATGATGATGATGATGATGATGATGATGATGATGATGATGATGATGATGATGATGATGATGATGATGTGATGATGATGATGCTGATGATGATAAGGATGATGAGCATGATGAGGATGACAAGGAGAAGGAGAAACATGTTGCTCGTTTCTTGTTCTTCGTTTTTTTGTTCTCTTTTTTTGTGTACTCTTGCCTAGCCTCGAAGAAGCCTGGATGAGGCATTTCTCCGTTCGGCCCGCGCTGCCTCAGCTGCAACTGCTGCAGTTGCAAAAATGCTGTTTGCTGACTGGCAAACTTGAAAGGATGAGTTCCATGTTTGCGGCATGTCGTCGATTGCGTGAGAAGTGCGAAGTTGTTGTTGATGCGGTGACATATGATGTGACTTTATCAACAGGGAGCTGCACACGGTCTGAAGCTGGCTGATGTCCTGCAGATCAGCAACGTGCGACAAGCCTGTATTGTACGCGGCACTGGCCTGGAAGAGCTCGTTCAAACGAGAGCAATAGACAAGAAGCTGGCCAGCTCCTCAAAAGAAAACAAGGGCGCCAGACGGCAAAACAAAACCTGTGCTCCTCCATCCAGACTCTTAAGCCACACCCACAGGCTGTAGTCGCCCACCACGGCCGGCATCACATCTGGCAATGATCTTTGGAGAATGGAGTCAACCAATGTACTCTCAGCTGGGGAAGCATTGTGCATTGCATGTTGCATTGAGCATATTGAGCCAGTCAAAATCGGAATGTTCAATCTAACAGCTTCTCCCAAGGAACCTGGCTGAGTGACGGGGCCGGCCACCTGCAGGCGGAAAGATCAGGCCACGGCAGCCCTAAGGAAAACAAGCACTGCTTGACTGGTGCTTTGGGGAGCATTGAGCCTCCGGTCATGCTTCAAATGCCCCAAGTTCCCGGCAACAGCACGCAATAGATCTCCCACCTGAGCGAGAATTTTGGAAGACACTGGACATGCAGCGTCTTGAGAACAGTTGAGAAAGTCTGCACCCGTTTTGCTTCGCCTAGCTTAGCCTAGCATAGGATAACTCGTCATACCCCAAACCGCTTGCACCCGCTTCACCGCTTGGCCTGCGGAAGAGCCGCATGCAACGCCTCTGGAAGTCCAACAGATTGGCACAGGATGCAGTTGGACATGGCCACGTCAGTCGTGCCAGTGAGCCTCTGGAAAGCCTGAAAGTAGAAGCAACGGAGGCGCATGCCCTGCCTTGGTGAGTGCCAAATGCGTAGCTGCTATGCCCATTTATGGAGCAACTCAGAGTAGCTCCAAGGATGCCCTCAAGCGACTTGGACAGTTTCGGCACAAGGCCTGCTTGCATTGCCAGGCACTACGCACCAAGCAAGGAGCTTAGGCAATGATAAGCAATTGGTAGGAATCTGAACTCTGGCACGTGCACTGTGCACCAGTCCAAATCTGAGACCTTTCCAAGGAGACGCTGCTCACCTTGAGACGCTGTCCACGGTGTTTGTGCAGCTCGGCGAGAGCCGTGGGCGTGAGCTGCACCGCCAATCCGAGACTGGCGCGCTTCGAGTGCGGCATTGCATAACATTGAGCACACGAATACATGGCTTGCCACATGGCATTTGACCGAATCTGACCTCCTCCGCATGCCAGCAGCATCCCGCAAGGCACTTGCCTTCGGCGCGTGATGTGTACGGTGCCAGCCCTCGTCAAGGCACTTGAAGCTCAGGCAGCAGCATCCTCCATCATCCTTGCATGAGTAAGAGTGGGCGAAGGCAACCACAAGCAAAATTACACAGCCATGAAGTTTCAGCCTCAAGACAATGTGCAAGGCATTCTGAATGTCGCTTGGCTTGCCTTGCCTCAGCGTGTCAACGCGAGAACGTCCTTTCCAAGATATGGATCGCAGTTTCTGAAGATATCGCACAACTCTAAGCAATCAGCGTACATTGCTTGCATTTGCTCAGAGATCGGCACTGTGATTTGGATGGCGCGTGCCTCCCCAAGGCTTGATGGCCAGTCCTTTCCAAACAACAAGGGATGGAACGCCATCACGAAGACACACCGCAAAGGACATATTTGTGCTTAATGTCCCCAATCGCCCAAAAACGACCAGAATGAGTCAACATATCAAAATCATGCCTGAGGCAGTTGGCTGACAGTCTTGTCAGGGACTGGCTCCATGAGGATACCCGGAAGCCTTGATGAAAGCTCGACTCTTCAAGGAAGCTCTGCCAGTCACTGCTCAAGCCCAACCAGTATGCACGTAGTTGCCTCCATGTTGAGTAATGAGGACCTGCGGGTAAGAGAAGAACCATTGCCTGGGAGAAGCTCACAAGCCTTGACGTATTGACAAAACACCACCCGCACCCCCCCCCCCGAAGTCCGAAGGCCTCCTGGCCAAGCCCCAATCCTGAAAGCGGGACCAAGTCCTTGCGTCGGAAACACCCCCTGACTCTGAAAATGACAAAGCCGGGTTGCCCCTGTATTCTTTTTTGAGAAAAAAGGCCGCGTTGACCCTCCACCTTTCTTCACTCCTTCTCCCCGCCCGCCTTTGGCTTGCTCAAGTTTCGGCGGCGGCGCGCGAAACAAGGCAGCGTCTCAGCGACGAGGGATCTTCATCTGCGAGCGCCGCTAGATTCTGACTGATGTGTGCGCGCGCGGCGGCGCGGGCTCGCCGTCGCCCTTGCGCCGCAGCTTGTCAAACGACCCTCGAGCCCCTCCTGTTCGGAGGGGCTCGAGGGTCGAAAACTCAAGCTCTTCAAGGCAGATCCCACGAATGCGGCCCAAAGTGATTCCGCCACTCGTGGGTGCGGGGAAAAGTTTATAGGGCATCGGCGTGGAGCCCTGCCATTGGTGAAGGCGACGAGCCACAACAGCCACACTCGCTGCACGCTCTCCGCAGCTCCCTGACGCTTGCCGGCGAACCTCGCACGCTACGGCTGAAGAGGTTTTCAGAGCCTAGAGAAACGAGGGACTTCACAGAGGGTCTTCGTGAGGTAGCCCGAAGCCCACCAAGACCTGCAAAATCTCTTCAGGAAACACGCGGGCTGTTGGCCGCCCATGTCTTCGTGAGACGCCGGTGTTGCTGCAACTTCCCTCTAACTTGCGGCTGCGCGCTCTGTAATCTCGCCGCAAGGGCGCCAGGCGCCACAGCGCGCCGACACTCGCTAACAAGGCCATGGAGAGCCTGTCTCCGCGACAGAAAAGATTGCCACGACCGACATGAACGGGATTGACGGGGAGGGAGTTGGAGCTTGTCCATCTGGGGAACAATTCCTCGCTTTCCAACTTTTCTCTTTCAACACCCCCGTTCGACCCTCCTTCGCCTCTTCTTGTCCTTTCCTTTGCCCCTCCTCTGTCCTATCCTTGACTTTTCTTGACTTGGATGACCGAGAACGCTCCCTCCCCAGCTCCCACTGGGTACAGGGTCAGATTCCTGTCCCGAAGGTCAAACAGCCCCCCTTGAAGGAGGCGGACCTTGCCAAGCGCGCCTGCCCAGAAGCAAATAATCTTGGACGAGCGGCACAGCTCGAACACTCGGTTGAGTGTCCGGCAGAGATCGCAAGGCACACTCCTCATTTGCCCTGAAGCCGAAATCAGTTCATCCTTACAACCCGGAGCGTTGAATCATATATATATATATGTATGGTGTACCTCTGGAAGATGTAGTTTTGCTTCAGCCGAGGCCAGCACAATGGGTGGCTGAACTTTGCCCTCCATCCCGTCCACGTATGTGGCTCACATTCTTCCGCATTGGCACGTGCCAGAACAAAACTCGGAAAGGAAAACAATACCTTGTTACAGCTTACAACTTGATACCAGTTCAGTGTCACCAGTACTGCAACCACCATATAGCTACTAAATATTTGCAACTCACACTTGATTCTTCAGGTTTTTGCTGTCATTCTGCTGCGGCATTGAGCTGGTTACATATCATTCCAACGAATCCAATCTTCGCTGGTTTACCAGTGGGAAAAAATGTTCATGACAGGCAGCACACTTTGTCCCACGCACTCGCAGCATTGCACTTGCAATCCTGTCATCTCATCATGCATGCTAGATGCTCACATCATCGGGCACTAGAATCTTAAAAAAGGCCGAGCTTTGTCCCTGCCAAGTGTAAACAACGGCAAGCAAGTGCAGAATTGCTCCATTCAATAGTCCTGGGGCTTGGGCACGGATCAAATGCATTTGGCAAGTGGCACGGCATTGCCATGATCCAACGGCAACTGTGCAGCCCAAAGTCGCGACCAACCTCGCCATGCGACCGCATTCATGCAGGAATAATGGCGCATTGGCTGGGAGCAAGCCACGGGGCTTGCAACTGCTAATGCCGCGCACCGAGATGCGCTGCACCCAGTGAAAAGAAGCCATTAACTGAGCAACTTCACGAAGAGTTGTTGTTGACAGCTTTGAAGACAGCATCAGCCATTCCTTTGGCGACAGTCCCAGCACCGCGAATCACCTGCATCACACGCACGTGGATTACACTGTCAGGATAGCCTCACACTCGCTGAAGCGACGCCTTTCCAGTGCTGTCAGCTCGCTTGCCCAACGCAATGCCGATCACAGCGCCGAGCAGTAGTCCTGCAAGTGCTTTGTTGCTTGAGTTTCCAACATCAAGCTGAACACGAACACATTAATCCCAGGCGGGGATATGGTTGGGACATAGGGGTGCTGAATCATGACATTGGGCTACTATGCAACGGGTGTCTAACCAACATCAAATGGTCCCCAGAAATGAAATGACACCAGGTCTGAATGAAGCCGATGGCTTGTTGATTCAGCTGCCTGTTGGACCGCCCGCAAGGAGTCCGAGCACACCACCTCCAAGAAGCCCAAGCTCGCCGCTGACCTGTTTTGGAATCAGCTATGCTTGAACAGGTTATCAGCTCTCAATGGGCATATGAAAATAAGGTTAGATGTATCTATACATATATTATAACGTGTATTACATATATGTATGTATATATATATATATGCTATGTACATAACGAATTGAAAAACGTGCTTGGGGGGGTTGGTCAGAATTTATCTTTTCCGCAACAGCCACTCTCCGGGAGACAAACAAGACTTCCGCGATGATGCCGTAGTAGTTTCTTTTCCGGCTTTGAAGTCGCAACTCTTCAGTACAAATGGAACACGCCAAGTTCGCGTCCGTACATCCGGCTCGACAGTACAGCTGTCGTAGACGCAAGACTGGCCAGGCAGTGTTCGAAATCTTAAAAGCGGAAAACACGCCGTGGACTGTGACCAGGCATATCGATGACACAAATAAGGATCAAGACCTTCACGTACAAACTGCAGTGGGAAAAAAACGTCAACGACATAAATTAGAATAATATCCACATGTCATAGCCTACCGAAAGACTTGATGAAATATTGCTGGATCAAAAAACTAAGCTGAACGACCCTATGTGGTATCTAAATCACATGAAAAATTACAATCAATAAGATCTAGAGCTTCATACAAACTCGACCATTTATTGTATGCCATTGCGCAGAGCATGCTTGCGAAGCGCTAGCAGATTGAACGGTGGCCTTTGTGGGATGCCTAGGAATGGCTAGCAGTGTCTAGCAGTATTTAGCAGTAGCTGGCAGTGGCTGGCCAAAGCTGGCTGGGGCTAGCTGCACATGAATGGTGCAGCGAGACAAGGCTTCTAGAGCTTGGAAGCCGTTCCCCGTATGATTCAAGCTGTAACCGACCTATTTGCGGCGAATCAGATCGCTGCATGCACCTGGTCGCGCTTTGACTCGGCTCTCTTCTGCTGCTCCTTGTAGCGTTGCCACAAACACTCAGGTACGCAGCGAAACGTGACATGTCCTCCATATCTTTGACCCTTTGCTCTTCTTCAGCTGCCTGAAAGGCTTGTGTTGCACAACACGCAAAAGTCAGAAAGGACTGGCATTCAAGACCGCCTGTTGCTTCAGAGCTTCAATTTTCGCTTTCTGCAGCTCAATGTTGTCACCTCAGCAGATCGAGACAATGTGCATCGTTCATCGATGGATGTTTCTCCACGCCAGTCCGACGCCAGTTGAGAGCAACACGCAGATTGTTCACGGCGTTTGCAAGCAAGGTGGTCTCATCCAATTTCTTGTCCTGTGTTTCTTGCTGGTCGGGTGTCTCCGTGTGATCAAGTCGACAGTGGTTTAGCAGTGCTCCTCCCCGGTCACAATGGCCTGGGCGCGGACCAGTTTCTGAAACATCTCCTGAGCGGCAGATGCAGGATGTTTGATGTGCAGTCGCTGCCTTCATGCAAAGCTGGAGCCTGGTGAAGGAAACCAGGACCAATCTCACTCTCAACTCTAATCAGCAAACGCTGAGAACATATTCACTGCTTGCACTATTGAGTCTAAGGGCTGGACGGTTGCCTTTGGCGATGAGTCTATATCTGGATGATACCTTGAATATTGAATCACGATGGCAGCAAGTGACTCTATCCTCCATACACTCCGTCTGAAGCAGCGGTAAACCAGCTGGTGAGCTCATGCATCCTTCCATTGTGCAAGTTTTGGCCAAACAGCCAACATGTAAGAACCGAACTTGGCTGCCAGTTTCCGGTAGGCCTTCCTGGCCTCGGACAGGATAGATTTGTATCAGGCAAGCCCCAAGCACGCTCTTCTGTCAGTGCCTCATCTAGACCTGCATCTGGAGAGATCTGCAGAACCTTGGCCAATGCAGCGGGACACGCTTTGTCCAATGGACGGGTGCATTTCACGCAAGCAACAAGATCTAATAGCAAGGATCACACTCTATCTCAACATTCACGAACACAAATGAGGCTTAAACACCTCGTTGTTTTCGAGCTCCTTTGTTGGGCTTATCTTTTTTGCTAACTCCTTATCATACAGTGCTTTGTGCTTTCTGTACTTTCAACCTCGCAATTCGCCACCTTGTATAGTACGAGTGTCTACCGCGAAGCTGTTCGGCGCAAGTGCAATTAGGCACGCTTTGGCAACTCCAGTTCGAAAATCGCAACTCTTCAATACACGTGTGCTTGAAAGGAGGGCAAACAAAAGTTAGCTTCCTTCTTTTCCCCAACGCAATTGAAAACTACTACACTAGCCCCATGTCCCTTCCAAGCGATGACTTTGCAGTCTGCCCGACACCCGGCATCACTGGCAACACCCCCAGAATCGCTCAAAGCACACCTACAAGTTGGAGTTTTTGGGTTGAAAAAGGTCCTGCAAGTTGTCCGCAAGCAAGCACGCCCACAAGATTCCAACACAAAACTCCAACAGCTATTGTGTCACCAACACCACCCCCAGCATCGCCAGCTAGCACAACATTCGATTATATGATTCCCAGACTGGGCATAGGAGCATCAGTCAGCCCTCCCATGTCTCAAATGGGATGGCTGTTAGCCAAACCCCGGACTCACAAATACTTGTGGTTGCGCGCCTCCCAAACGAAGCCGCCCTTCACACGCATAGAGACACCACGCAGACCACGAAAGCACGCGCGCACGCACGCACGCCCGCTCGCACAGGCACACGCACACGCACACGCCCATGCACACGCACATCACACGCACACGCACACGCACACGCACATGCCCACGCGCACGCGCACACGCACGCACGCGCGCGCACGCACACGCGCACGCACACGCGCACGCACACGCACACGCACACGCACACGCCACGCACACGCACACGCACACGCACACCCACACAAAAACACACACACACAAACACACACACACACACACACACACACACACACACACACACACACACACACACACACACACACACACCCACGCACGCACGCACGCACGCACGCACGCACGCACGCACGCACGCACGCACGCACGCACGCACGCACTCACGCACGCACGCACGCACCCACGCACCCACACACACACACACCCACCCACACACACACACACACACACGCAGCAGCAGCAGCAGCAGCACGCCACAGCGCGAGCACGGCCCCCACCTCTCCCCGCGGCCCCAAAGACACTGAAATAAACGCGCAACTCCAGTTTTCCACCCGCCTCTCAGCAACTGAGCTCTAAAGAGCTAGCTTCGTACCTAAATTACACTTTGGAAGCTCCATCCAGCTCGAAAATCGCAACTTGGCAGTAGACATGTAGTACAAAGTACAAACAGTTTTGCGGCAGCTCCAACTCAAAAATCGATCAGTGTAGTACCTAAAGTACGTTTTGGCAGCTCCAGCTCCATCATGGTTCTTCTTACTTGCATTGTTCGTATTGTCGTTACTGTTGGGATTATTATTGCTCATACTTCGTCTTTTCCAGCGCCCAAATCGCAACTTCTCAGCATGGAACTCAGAAAACGAGTGGGAAAACGAGTGGGAAGCGTGTGGGAAAACGTGTGGCAAATCTGTCTGGCCTGCTTGCCACCCAACAAGCTGTGCTTTCCCCGCTGACAAGGCTGCTTCCCATGATCTTCATGTGTTCATTTGTTGTCGAAACATGACTCCATACCGTTTTTGCAGTAAAACACGGCAGTTTTGGACACAAGGGACCTCCGAAGACTAAACTAAAATCAACGGGGTTGTTATACAACCTCACATTGTGTTAGGTTCCGGTTTGTGCCTTGAGCAATTCCGATGTGTTTCGGCATGCTGGTTGGGGCTGAAGTGGCACATGGCACACAGAAGAACCACCCCACAAAACAAATAAAGCTGAAAACTGCGCTCATGGAAGGTACATCGGCACGTGCAGTTCTTGCGTTTGCATTGGCCGACCCTCCAACCCCAACACAACCGGCCCGGGCGCTGAAACTAAGTCACAACATGCTTCATGTCAAGCGCGCAGGTGTGGCTCCATCGTGCACAGAAACCAAGAAGCGGCAAAATGCAGGGGCGAGATGGCTCTTATGAAGTCAACAATGGCTAGCACACAAGCGAGAACAGCTCCAGGGCAGCTGGCATGGGACGGACCCAGGAGGGAGTCAATTGATCTGAGGCCATTTCAGGGTGAGCAAGCGATTTGGATGGAGACATGTACCACAGCAGAAACCATAGTTCAAGGCCCCCAAAAGCAAAAAAGGCGAAGCAACAACTCCCAAAGCCAATGAAAGAAGTTTCATTCATCAAATGGTTAACATGTATGCTGCATGCCCTCCGCCAGAGCTGTGGCACCCCAGCCGTCCATGGATCAAAGGTGTCGCTTGCATGCAAAGCCACCTTGCAGACATTTGAACATGTCACACTGCTTTTCAAACACAAGTACATGCGGGTGAGAGCAGCATACATACACAAGTACAAGCACGCCCCGCGCAACACGGACAGCGCGCCTTTCCAAAAAGTGGCCTAGCCTTGGTTTCGCAGTTTTCCGCCACACACTAAACCGTCATGCATCTAGGTACTCCACGGCAGCATTGGTGAAGGCGTGGTCATTTGAATGGCCTAGAGTCAAGGTGGTAGCACCGAGCAGCACGACCATCGCTTGTCTTCTGAAGGACATCTTTAAGGCTTTGACATCTTTAAGGGCATGGCTGTGTAACGCAATCCAAAGCGCGCAAAGGACTGCCGAAAATGACGCCTGGCCCTGCAGGCAGTCCATGCCAGTTGTACATGCAGACCATTTTCAAGCTTAGCCAGCAGAGCGCCCGTCCATCTTCTTTCTCCTTAGTACGGGTCCGTTTCAATTCCAAGTCAAGCAAGTTGAGTCCGGCAACGCCGGCTCAGAAGCCAACGAGGACCTGTAGCCATAGCGATCGTCGCAAGGCCGCAGCTTCTGTCACCACTTGTTTGCTGTACTTCAGCAGTACACTCATGACTTGTGCTGCAAATATTGCTTTAGCTCAACATGGCGAACTATACATGTTCGCGCTCGCCGAACACCTCTGGCAAAACAGGTACAAAAGCACTGCCGAGAAGTTCTAACGATTCAAGCGTTCACTCGTTCACACGCGCTTACAAAGGAATCTAATAGCAGCTTCTTTGTCGTCACTGTCCATGGCTGATCCACAATCCCCACCGCTGCCAAAGGGAAAATAATGCGATTTGGAACAACTGAACAACTGGGCACTCAGCTGTATAAGCATCAAGCATGTCAAACAGCCTGGCGATAGTTTCTCGACACCGCGCATCGACGGCACCCTGACTCCATCCAAGGTTGATGAAGTGGGGCTTGCGAGTCACGCTTTGCATGTCTCTACTGGATTCCATACAAGAAACATTCAAGTGAAACATAAAATCATTCAACCGTTGTGCCAGATTTGTACCTCGCAGTGCCGCTACTGCCCAAACACTGTGATTGCCTAAACAACGCGTGCTCCAGATTTCAATAGCATTCAGTACTGGCGCACTGGGAGCAACAGCCCAGCAGCATGAGAATTGCCTGAAGCAACAGCAGCAATAGCGACGTTGAACTGCAACGTGGATTTCCTTTCATGTATCATGTCGTTGGATTGGCTTGCTTAACAGCTCACAATGGCAGTAGCACTTCTCAGTGGGCCGGATGCAAAGCACCAAACGGTGATGAAGTACAGGATGGTGATGGCCTTTCCGTACCTCCCACAGCGCACCGGCTCATGCTTGAAGAGCCAGCAAGAGGGCAAAGGGCGCACTCCCCTCGAGACATGAGGTACACCTTTGCTGCGTTGCATGGGCAATCAGAGCCAGCAGTGACTCAACACCATATTGTTCAAGCTGTCTCGGTAGAAATTCCGCCATGTCTGAGGTATGCACTGCTAAGAATAAGATGTCCGTTACTACCAAGAGAATAGGACAGCCTCGCAGGATGGTGCGTGCCTCAGCAAGGATACCCTCAGTTGCGTGGACGACACAAGGCCGGCTCTATTCACATGAATTACACGAGCTTGCTGTAGCGCACTTAGATGCAAGCCCAAAGCTGTGGGACACGCTCGGCCTCAGCATGTCTCATATCGAGCGTCGTTGAAGGTTCAGCAACTGAAAGTCGTCGCAAGGTCACCGGGTCACCCCCGCACGCAGCAGCTGAATGAAGATTGGTTGTAGTCATGCTAAGAGAAAGACGCCTTCAGACAAGACAAGCTTTGACTGGTACTCAATCTTGACCAAGTATCCTCAGCCAATGATCATGATTGCTTCTCTGCAAAAATATCAGAGGCCTTACAGAACGGGCAGTGTCTGAGCTTCACACTCGCATGCCGCTCCGCTCCCACCTTGCGCTTTGAGAAACTTTAAGTTGGGACCAGTTTTCCAGAGCTGCCAGAACTATAGCTCAAGACTTGTTTGCCATCGAAGAAGAAGCTTAAGCCAATGAAGCGCGCAAAGCCCGCAAGTGAGATAGCTGGCTACAAGGCTAGATAGATATTGACACGTTAAGCCAAATAGCTAATTCAACTGTTGGTCTATCTAGTAGTTAGACAGCTCCAAGTATCTGCTGTGTGTCTTACTTTGGTCCAGGTAATCCTGCTTGGCTCCTGTCATTTCGCCACTTAATTAGTTAGCAGCGCAGTGAGTTGGTTGGCTAACCAACGAGGTTGCTAGTCAGTTACTTGAAGTTGATTCGCCAGCCACCACGTCGTTCGCCAATCAACTCGCCAGTGAGCTAGAACTCACTTGCGTACCATTTAAGTGGCAAACTTTACTTGTTCAGGTACTAGGTGGTAAGTCAGCTGCAGTACTTACTCGACTATTCTAGCTAGCTAGTCAGTGATCAATCAAGTAAGCAAGCTTTCTGGCTAGCTCGCTGGCTGTCCAAATCGTTAGGCAGGTGACATTTTGCAGTACAGTGAAGTAATTGGTTTCTCGAAGGGTTCTCCAGTTTGAATTTGGCCGAGAGCAGTATCTTGCCGCGCCGATGCGATTTCCCCTCGAGTTCGTTTCATTACTGCCAATTTACAGGTTACTGACGTACCGACTAAGACAGGAGCAAACAGCGGAGTCTGGAAGGTCAACCTCAAGAAAGTCCATAGGGGATTTTGTGAGAGGAAGTAAACATGCAAAATGTGCTCTGCTGAGTCATAATCAAAACCTGGTACAAAAATGGTGAACCCAGAACCATGTACAGGATTAAGAAGGCGGCCGCAACTATTTCCGGCTGGGACTGCCCCTTACTAACCTTCATCTACCCGGGTTTTGACTGTGGTCTGCTGCTGACCTAAGCGCAACCATTTCACTTTTGTGTGTGTGTCTGTGAATTGAAATGCACAACAAGCTGTGGGGAATACAGAAGAATCACACCCGCAGGCCTCGAAAATGCTAAGCATTGCCGGCAATCCAACGATTTCAACAGCCATTGCATTGCGAAACAATCACTCTGTATTGTCGTCGCGGGGAATGTTTGGCGACACAATGATATCTCAGGGCGGCAATTGTTGGCCCTCTACATTCCCGAGATGTAGCTAGAATCCAGAGCTTCAAAAATAAATCATGCACCTCACTGCTGAAATGCCTTAAGGAAGAAGACGAAGAACATGTGCAGCAGAAAGTATGCATTTGAGTAGACCGCCTGCCATGCCAAGCATTTCTGACTGCGCATGGCCGTAAACAATGCGAAACCTGCCTCACTCTTTCTTTATCAAAGGGAAACAGCCTATTAGCACATGACAAGACCTCATGGACTAATTCTGTGACTGTTTGCATCCTTCTTCTTCTTCTTCTTCTGTTACTCCTGGTTGCGGTTCCAGTCAAATTCTGCATCAGCAGAACTGGGCCTTTCCTGATCTCCCGGAGGTGTGTGCTTTTATTGCCGCTGCTTGACAAACAAGGCTCTGGCACAAATACGCAAAAGCTTACACAGAAGTACATTCTTCACAGGCGCCAATTGCAGTTCTCCATGTGTGTGTGTGTGCTGTCGCCAACTGAACGCCCACGGGTTCTGCATGGCGAGCTCAAGCATGAGAGGCAACAGCTCATACCCTGGCTCAAAAGTCGCAACTGTTCAGCACGAAGGTCGCAAACATTTCAGTACGAAGTAGTACACAATTCCGCAGCCCTCGCTCGAAAGTCGCAACTTTGCAGTATGAAAGAAGTACACGAAGTGCACTTCCGCAGCCCCGGCTTGAAAGTCACAACTTGCTAGTACAAAAGCAGTTTCAAACACAAAGCAAGCAGTGTCCAAGACCATGCAAATCTGGCATAACACCATTCCGGCGTCTCGCTTCTGGGCCAAACTATCTCTCTTTCTTGGATAACACCGCGTTCCAAAGAGCATGACTGCACCCTTGGTTACAAACTGCGGCAACGGTTATTTTGCCGGATGCTCATGCGGAAGCAACCGTACTGTCAAAGGGTTCATGTTAAGTTTCAATGGGCATGGCGGCATGCTTCAAGTCATGCCAGCAAAACTCCTGGCATAAATGGTGCTGTCGGAATAGTCACAATCACCACCTCATGATGGCACAGGTGACAATGTGTTCACACATCGCTGCCACCTTGTCTGATGCAGGCTAGCGACAAGACCTTTGGTAATGATCATGTGAGCCAACATTGTCACCATTGCCGCCCCGGCCTTAAACTTGACAAACATCCTGCTGCCAAATGCATCGGAAGTTGGCAAGTATGCACCTCTGCATATCAAGCCACTCTGCGGCTCTGGCAGACTCCGCAAACATCATCGTTCCGACAAGAACGAAGCCCTCCATGTACATGGCGGGTGAGCTAATGCTCAGAGTTCGGACATGTCAAAGCTGGAATCAAGCTGGCATGAGTGAGCTCTGCTCAGGTTGCCTCCAGGTTGGTGCAAACAACAAGCTCTGGAAGTGTCTTGGACAGCTCATCCAAGTACCCACTGGCCTCCAGTGATCTTTGTTGGGCATACTATCATGCATGCTGGTTTCAAATGCGTACACACGGTACACACGGATGAGGAAGCCACCATGTCAAGGCCAAGTAGTCCCCCAGTTGCAGCTAGCACCTCAAAAGACTAGAATTTGCCATGGCCCAAGTGAAGAGCGTGGGAAGGACTTCTAAGCGCTGAGTAATCCGAAAGTAAGTCCAGCGCTAGCAAATACCAGTAAGGCCTGTCAATGTGATATCAAATAGCAAGCCAAGCTTTGTAGTGGCAACGCCTGCCTCGTGCGCATCTTGTTTGAGAAGAAATCCAACGGATGGTGCAGCTCATCTCCAATAAAATTGATGAAGGCGAACCAGACCTCAGTCACAGCAAAGCCAGAAAGGTGCGACATGCCGAGCACATGCTCCTCATCTCTACAAGCTCAGCACTTGACTGCTGCAAGGCCTGTCGTGCCGTAGGCCGCGTAGAAACAGACCTAATCCCATCACCGATTGCCATCGACCACCCTTTGGCAATCTGGCCCTGATCCAACTCCTACCTCGCTCGGCATCTCCACACACCTCCGTTTCTTACCTCGATTCTGGACGCCAATGCCTGGGAAGCCCGCCTGAGAGGATTGCACCCAAAAGTTATGGCCATCATCATTTGACTGCATACCATGCAATCGCTAACGCCAGGGACGCTGGAACTATGCACAGAGATGCTTATGCATCCATGTCATACTGAAGGATGAAGAAATAGCTTTCGGGACTGGCACTGCAAATACGTTGATTGTCAGCAGTGTCTGCCTTGTACTTCCGTTTACTGGTGGTTCCTTTTGCGATCTTGCGTTGTGCATGCTCACCCGTCCTTGGGTTCATGTATTCTAAACTTAATTGCCTGGGACTCACATGCAAAGCAAGGGTGTATCATTATAACATGATATGTGTTCCTGTCTCGCAGCTGACATGCCTGCCCGATACTGCGGTTATCGACAAGCAATTCTACACATCTGCACACACGCACAAACCATGTCATCTTTTTCAATGCGACTGTGCAATTCACTTTGGTCGGCGTGGCAGGCCGATAGCACAAGCCCATCGTAGGCAGCACTCCGGCAGCTGCAATCATCCACTTCTGCTTGGGATATCCATCAGCGTGTGCTTCGAGTCTGAGAACTGTAAGCCATTCATTGTCCGTCTCTCCTGAGTTGCAAAGCAGTGAAAAACGAAAATTCTCCCTCAGAGCCTTGGGCACTCACAGAAGAATGGGAGCTGCTTTCTTGTTGTCTGCGCGGAATCTCAAAGCGACTCTAAGGGTCGCACCGCCGCCTTGTGCGTTTCTGGGCTGAGCCCTGGCAGATGCTCTGGATGCGCTGTGCAACGAGCGATGCTGCCATCACTCTGACCACTTCACGCTGAGGCCTTCATCTTTGCCACTGGCAGGTTTTCTGAAAACTTCACCACCTGGCCGAAAGCTGTCCAGCTGGCATTCATGGTGTGTTGCAGCCAGCCCAGATTCAAGCTTCATGGGACCGCATTTGCTGGAACTCTCTAAGACATAATCACTTCCATTGCTGGAAACTTCAGCATGAAACTAACTGCCACTGTTCAACCCAAGGCTGTGGCTGCTGGGCCTTGTCTTGCAAGTTGAAGGTTACCTGCCGCTTCTTCGACGGCTTGGCGTTCAATTTGTTCCTCCGAATGAGAATGACACAGTTTAATGGGTTCAGCTGGTGCTCTGCACAGATTTGAGTTGCAGCGCCATGCCCAACTTGAGGCGTGCACCCAGTTGCAGCGTTGCCTTGCGCCTCTGAGCAAATGCCCATGGTCCCACTCGTTTTTGGCTCCCAAACGATGTCGACACGCGCCTCTGCTTTCTTTGCAACCTTCGACTTTTTCTTTGGGGGTGCCTTCAACGTCAGACGCAAAGAAAATGGAACAAGAACAGCAAAATACAACGTATTCACAAATGCAAGCAATGCGCTGACATTGCCAATGCCTTCGCCTCTGAGCCAGCACCAACATCGCTCCTGCTATTGCATGCTACAACTCGCTTGGTTACAGAACACGTCTAGCAAAGGCTTCAAAAGAAGTCTCAATCAAGAAGAAGCAATTGTCAAACCACGGAGGACAACAGGAAAAACATCTCCCCTCTGGAATCGTCAGGCACCATAGCACAACACCGTTTTCTAGCACAGGCTGATGCACAACTACTTAGTCAGAAGCACCGAGCACTTGGATTTAGGCCCCTAAACGGAGCGCTACATTGCACCTGTCAAGGTCCCGACTTTGTCCTCTTCTTTGGAAGCTTTGGAAGCTCTGGCTCAGCTGCCTACCGTGCGTGTAAATGAGAAAAGGTCGCTCAATTCAAAGTCGGTAGACTGAAAAGGAGCACTTGCCATGCCAGGCTTGCCAGGCCTGGGGCAGCATCATGGGCGAAACCTGGCTGAATTTGTCCTCCAAGCAGTGCAACTAAAAAAATTGAAGGTGCTTCTCGGCACAGCCCCAGCATGTGTGCTTCTTAACATGCATCCCGACCTTCCGCTTCACACCTCGTTTCTTTCTCTTGGCCTGCACACGCATTTGCGATGCATGGCTGTTGCCACTGATTGCATCCATGCCTTAGGCTGGCTAGGAGTGCTTGCTGCTGGTGCCTCACACAGGCCGCCAGGCCATCAATGCCTTGCTTTCCGTGTTTCTTTTTGCAGGCTCAGCCTCCATGTCCAGCAAGGCTGTTTCTGGCGCCGGGCCCCTGGGCAGGCATGCATTGAGCGAGGGAAACGATTCACGATTTGCATGAAAATGCACAAAGAGGGAAGCACCCTCTGAGGGACAGGGAGGGGAAAACACAACGAACAGGGCCTCTCTGTAGGAAGAAAGTCTCCATGACAGTTCTGCAGGAGTAGAAGCGGCTCTCTGAATGTCAGAATGTGTGCTGGAAGGTTGGTTGTGCTTCAAGTCCATGCGCGTTTCTGCGCCATTTGTGTCCAACAAAGGCAAGTCCCTGCAACAAACAAAAAATCCGCCGACAACAGACGGCGCGCTGGACGCAAGAATGCTCTTTACCGGCGGCCACGTGCCACCCAGCGATTCCAAGACGGTCCCTTTGCTTTCACGAGCGGCGCGCGGGGCACTCTTGCGTAAAACCTTGCGGTGGTCGATTTGCCCAAGGCCACCGTCACGGCATCAAACACAGGCGCAACACCACCAGCATCACGAGCATCATCTGCGGACCTCTCCCAAGCGACCAAGGAAGTTGCAAACGAAGCTTGCGAAAACAAGGGAGAACACGGGGGGAGCATTGGAGGCATGGGGAAAGCATTGGAAATCACGAGGAAAAACATTCGGGGAACGTTGGAAACCATGGAGAAAACATTGGAAACCATGGGGAAGAACAATGGGAAACATGGGCAAACATTGGGGCCAACATTGGAAACCATGGAGAACAACATTGGTAAAAATAGGAAAACGCATGGTTGAGGCGCCTGTAAACCGACTGCGCTGTTTCTCTCTTCCATGCCCATAGTGCCGGAGTGGGAGTGGGTCACTTACTCACCCAGATCTTGGGTCACTCGCGCCCAGACATGCGTTTTGACCCACGCCGCCCCGCAGACTCATATACCCAGGCCACCCAGTCAGCTACACTTGTTCCGCATGTCATTCGCGCACCCAGACATGCGCTTTGGCCCATGCCACCAAACGCGCCGAGGGTGGGTGGGGGGGTGGGGGTGGGAGGGTGGGGGTGGGAGGGTGGGGGTGGGAGGGTGGGGGTGGGAGGGTGGGGGTGGGAGGGTGGGGGTGGGAGGGTGGGGGTGGGAGAGCACACGCCTGCCAAATGGTCAGCGCGCCCGCTCAGCACTGCGCGACGCCTGCCAAATGGACCGCCTGTTCAGCACTGCGCTCAAGCGCGAGCATGACCCTTCAGGACCGTGCCCAAGTCCGACCTGGCACTTCCGTCGCCTGACGCGTGAACCAACGCCGCGCACCTGCAACCTTCAAGATCAAGATTCCCAGACAGCTAGTTGCACCGCAATGAACCACAGCAGCTTTCTTGGCACAACACAGGCGTGCGCATCCGCCACCTCTACCGCGCTCTGCCCTGCACAAAACTCGCGCTGACCGCGCGGAAAGGGTTCAATACTGCCCGCAGTTGTAAAAAAGCGCTTCGACACGCGCGATCTCCACAAAGGGTGCCTCGAAGCCAAGAAACATTCACATGGCGCCACAGCGAGAGCACTTCGACGTGCACGATCTCCGCCGAGGGTTCACCGAACCCAAGACAAATTCGCATGGCGCCACAGCGAGAGCACTCCGACACGGCGCGGTTCATCGAAACCTTACAGTACTGCACTGGTCGCTGACCCTGTGACAAAGTCAGGAGCCCCGGAACCCAGGTTTTTGGGCAACTTCACGTGCCAGGCAGGGCGCGAGAGCCCTTCAAAAGCAACAGGCACGCGCCCTGTCTGAGTGAAAACAAGTGTTGCACCTCGGCAAAACGCGCAATCTCATAAGCGGGCTTTCCCTTGAACGGCGGACGTAACCATTTTTCCACGATGTGGTTTTTCACCGCTGCGGGGTTCGCTTGCACGACAAAAGTAAACACTTGGCGCCGTGTGTTGTCACAAACGACGAACATAGACTTTTGGTGCCATGCACTCCGCCGCGGAGACACCAAGTCAACTTCAGCATCTACTTGTATCCGCTTCCTGTTGAGAGCAGCCGGGACGTTGACCGAAAGCCTTGGAACGCTGTGTGTACGCCTCCTCGTCCGACATCAAATCGGGCATGGCGAGCTACTGCTAAAAAAAAGGCCCACAGGGTAGCGGGCGGTAGGATGCACCGTCAAAAACACAAACAGCCCTTTCGGTCAAGGGGAGCCGGCACCGCAAACACGGGGGGAATGTTGGAAGCCATGGGGAAAACTTTGGCAAGCCATTGGGAAAAACATTGAAGAATGGGTGAGGGGGGCGAGGGACATTTGGAGCCAAACACACATGAGGGAAGCATTGGAAGCAATGGGGGAAACTTTGGACTCATACGGAAAAACATTGGGAACACAGGATATGCGAGAAAAAAACATGGGTGGGGGACATTGCAAGCCATGGAGAAAGCACTGGATACCATGAGGAAAAACATTGGGGAACAACTTAGAAAAATGGGGGACATGTGGAAACCATGGGGAAAAAAACAAGGGACGTGTATAAGAAAGCAGGCCTGTGATGTCGGAGGCGTTAACGTAGAGGTAAGCACGTGCAAAAGCGTGAGAACCAACCTTAAAGCACTCGCTATCAGCACTTCCTTCTTGCACTTCTCCCTAGAGCCTCTTACCATTGCGCCCGCCCCCGGCCCCAATAGCTGCCGAAATCTGAACCAACACCTGCGAAAGCACTTCCAAACAGCACCATGTAGCAGCACCAAGGAGTCTCCAGCACGGCACCAGCCTAAATCGCATGCCTTACTAAGACCCAATTCACAACATCGGAAATCAACTCCCTCTCTGTCAAAATCACCAGGCCCTCTTGTGGCACCCAGCACTCTGAAACCGCACCCTAGCAGCACCTGAGCATCATCCTGCACTGGGGCATCACCCACCAGCATTGCTGCACCAGCATCACCAGCATCCTGTAGCACTTTGAAAAGAAAAAATGCCTCTTTGGCTAGGGAAGGAGTCTCGAAGCTCGAGTGGGCCAAGATCAGCAGCTGAAAGCGGCAAAAAAAAGAAGTGACTTCAACGGCGACTGTGGCGTTTCCGTTTCCAACTCGACCAAATCTATCCATGTCCACAGTCCAAACGTCCAAAACGTTCGAATGACAGTGCTGGGGGAGTTTGCCTTGTACTGGAGGGTCAAATTTGAAGTACATCTCCCAATGTTAGGGGGGCAGAATATAAGAGCTACTGTGTTCTCCATGGCCAGTCTGCACAGTGTCATCACAACGCTGAGCTTGGGGCTGCAGTCTCTTCTCCAGCCAATCCACTGCTTCATATAAAGCCTAGCAAGACTCAAGTGATGACTGCAAGCCACAAATAAAAACTCCAAATTTCCAAATTACTCGCCCTCCTTCACAAATCTTGATTTGCCAGGGCAGCGAAAGCGAGTGATGTGAAAAGGTTTCACCCACCACGGACGATTTAGCTTGATTTAAAAAAAAACACGATGTGCAGCCGCCTTGGAAGGACTTGCCCTCACCAAATTTTGCCCATGGTCCAAACTCCTTGTGCAGGCCTCCCGGTTTGCCTGTATAATGCTACTCTTCGCAGCAGCTTCCAACCTCCGCAACACTTGACTGGCAAAACCTTGCAAAGAGGCGGTGAGCATGATCCATTCGGGCTCGCTGGCTCTTGACAAAGGAGTGACGGCTCATATACCCGGAAATACATTTATGGCTCTGGCAGTCTGCCCATCAGTGGGCGAAGCAAGTCCCATGGCGCCCTCAGCAACATGTGCTGCAAATCAATCTACACCAATTTCTACATGTGACAATGCTGTCGAGTTGCGGCTTGAAGACGTGCTCGTGAATGCTCCGCACCTGAGTGCAAAGGAAAATGTATATTGTCAATTTATTGCAGATTGCAAAAAGTGATCCATATGCTACAGCGCTGCAAATCTCTGAGCCTGAGACAAGTCCCATAACGTATGAGCCTTCTGACAAGATCACGAAGGGCTCAACAAGGGCCATGATGACCTGTGTCACTTTCTGCAGGTCAGTATTGCAGCTGACAGAACTGATGCAATCCCAGCCTGCTGTGAAGCTCTGGGAGTCTGCTCCAATTGCGGTATCAGCTCTTCCCACAGGACACGCGTTATCTGCACACGGCTTTCAATTCAAGGCATGGGTTCAACTTACACGCTAAAGATGCGCAACCTTTAGGCCTCAGGTTGGGAGACCCGTCAGCCTCCCCTCGGGTACCAGTCCGATAGCACTCCATCGGGGCGTGGGGGTGTCAAGGGCCGGTACTTTCCGCACCTGTGCGGCTCAAGCCTGGGTTTCTTGCACAAGCTACTGTCATTCATGAGGAACACAAAGCGACCTCGCTTGCTTGACACTGCCTCAGTTTGGTGCGTATTCACTTGCTTTGCCAGACACAGGCCTTGAATGTAGCGTTCTACATCTGATGTGGCCCACATTGCCTTGTTTTTACAGAATCGTAAGACCTGCACCATGGTACGGCCTTTCTGTTGGCACGTATGCTACTCCTTCGTGTTGCTGGAGATCCTTGTCCGCATACGCATTGTGATCCCTTGCGCGCAAACAAGCTTTTAAAAACCAGCCCAAACAACCACTGTCGGTATTCCTGCTCGTGTGCGCGATCTTGGGCACGTCGGCTTTGCCCAAGGGTTGAAGTCGGATAAGTGCAATCTGCATTGCCCGCAGGGTTTTCCAGCACCGTCTTCAAAACTATGCGAAAGACCAAGTTTTGGTCATGTTTTCTTGCAAAAGAAGCCATGAAAGACTTGGTGTGGAGTTCGCAGCTCCACAATCAAGAAAAAGCGGCGCATGGTGTGAGGTCTCGGGGAACCTAAGGGCTGGACCATTGCATTGATTTTGATAGTAATCTGAATCTTTCCAAACACAGCTCATGGGAATGAGTCAAGCTAAGCAGAATATTCTACGGCAGCCTGCATGACAATCCCCATGCTGGAAGCGCTGTTTGTGCGTTGTGGCGCAGACCTGCAAGGAGCACAACTATCAAGGACGTTGCATTCATTGGTCACTCTCAGCCTGATGATGACTTCCATTCGATCTTTGACCTGAGATCTCGCACTTCTGCCCAATAATTTGCAAATCACGCGGCACCTCTTGCATTGGCCAGCCGTTCAATCGGAGGTCCTGCAAATCATGGCATGACGTCTATCCAGCCATGCAAACAGCAACTGTTTGGGGCAAGAGCAGTAGGGACCTTGCTACGCGTGAAAGCAAAAGGAAAAGTAGCGACTGTGGCAAGCACTGCAATCCTCAAGAATTAATTACTTGCAAAACTCGCTTGCAACAAGTAAACTCAAGACGACGACAGAATTCGGGCATAAGCGCTCGACTGGACACTTCTGAGCTCCACAAACAACAATAGCCTGTGGGCTACGCAAGGCATGCAAAGATGAGCTCGTGGGGCAGGAGGGCTTAGGGTTCTGCGCCCACTCAAACAACAGCAACGAGCAAACACACCTGTGGACGCTGGTAGGAACGGTGAGCGGAGCAAGTGGGCAAGAGACTGTGGGGCAAGAGCGCTTCTCCACAAAATCCACTGTGCAAATCGGCCAGCGCGACTCAGGGGCACAAGAGCAAGGGCATAAAAGCTTGTGGAGCAAGGGCAAATCAACCTACCGCTAATGCAGGGCATGCAGGCACGCAAAAGCTTGTGGAGCAAGGGCACTGGAGCTTTGCGACCCACAAAAGTAGGCAAGGAGCAAAAGACGTCTGTCGCGTGTTGTTCCTAGGCAATGAGCTGGATATTGGGCAACAAATGACCTCCCAAACTTACATGTCCTCTCGCAAGCCTCCGACCCAAACGCCACGGGTAAGTTGAAGACACAGTCCTTGAACATTTCCGCAAGCACAATGCGAAGGAAAAGCAAATACTTGTTGACCTGGAAGCATGCGCTTCAGGAATGACTCCGAATCAACAATAGTCCACGCTCCCTGGCAAATACTCTAGCTAGCTCTCTCAAACGCAGACACAAAGGGAAATCCTACTTGTGAACTTCTGCGAAGACTGTCTTCCTCTTGCAACCTTTGTCTCCAGATGGCCTCTGCCATTTGAAATCTAATGAATGAGAAACGAGCAAATTCTGCTGGCTTGCACGCCTTCGCACGAATCTGCTTGATGTGCAAGATAAACCGTTGCCAAACGCTTGCCATGAAGGCGCAGGGCTCTGCAGGGCTCGGCAGGGCTCGGCAGGGCTCTGCAGGGCTCAGTAAGTCAAGCTTCGGCTTTGGTGAGATGAGCGCTCTCACACAGCCGTTGATGGTCTACGGAGGTCTGACTCTAAGCCACATGTTTCAGCTCGCCGCTTCCTCGCCGCTGGGAAACGTTGAGCTAGGTCCTGCAAGTCAAGGTGTGTCAAATACTCCCGCCTGGCAAGCCGAATGCGGCTCCTCCTCGGTCTTGGATCGCTGTAGCGGGATTGGATGTGTGTCATGAGAGTCATGCCCACTGAGTTCCTGAGGCGCCACGTGCATCTAAGATCTCAAGGAACATTCAAGGCCCTTTCTGTACCCAGGTTCAAATGATGGCTGCGACAGGTTTTGTGGAGGCGCGAAGCAAATATTTGGCGCCTGGAGCGTGACTCCTGGTTTGTGGCTAATCCAACTGCAACTCAGTCCACTCAACGGATCTTGACCTGCTGCTTCGTCCATAGAGAAGCGCATGCTTCAACAACGTTGATATGCAACACTCATCTATCCTTCCTGCTCGCCACACCGCTACGTATGTTTATGTTTCATCATGTTTTGACCCCCACTCATTTGGCTTGCTCGCGCGCAACACTGAGTTCTTCGGATCGTACAGTTTCAGTGTTTGAAAGAGCCCCATTCTCCGACCAGAAGTGCTCGAAGAGGGACCCTGCAAACCATCGTGTCACTGTGATGTGTCACTTGGCTAAGCAAAGGGTTGCCACTGGCGGCGGGGAGGTGGGTTCCATTCCTATGATGTGAAAACAGTCACCAATCAAGGTGCATTGGCCAGGGGGAATATGTCCTAAAAAGTGTTGCTCCCCCGCAGCGGCCAGTGGCTGTTCAGCCCCAACTCTTTGGGAGTGGCAGTAAACAATCTAGTCAGCCTCTCTCTGGGTGCCTGCCTGAACAACCCCAGCAATCCCAGCATGCACAAGATATGCTTCACCTTCCTCTACATCCTCAAAATTTTCAGCATCCCCAGCATCCCCGGCAGCACCTCGAGCATCACAAGCCTCATCAGAATGGACTGGCCTAGTCCTTGAAAATGGGCCAATCACTCTCTGTTCTTGGCAAACGCTACTTCTCTTCCAGAGGTTGCTTTCGTCGAAAGGTTGAGTAGTTGAACAGTAGTTGAGGTTTTTGTCATGACACGTGCATCTGCGTGAAGCAACTGCATAGCTGCAGAAGCCACCCTGTCACCGCTCGGTGCTACACGACTGACATGACTGACATTGGTGAGTTCAGCAGGCCCTCCTACTCGCAACGCTTGACTTGGTTTGCTCCTGCGACCTGAATCAACTTGAGTCACTAGCTAGTCCCAGTAGCTGTGTCGGACACTCTACGTCTTTTTTTGTGTGTGAGCGTGCTTGTGAGTGTGTGTGTGTGTATGTGCGTTTGTGTGTGTGTGCTTGTGTGGGTGTGTGGGTTTGTGTGCATGTGTGTGTGTGTGCGCGTGTTTGCGTGTGTGCGGGTGTGCGTGTTTGTGTGGTTGCATGTTTGTGTGTTTGCGCGTTCATGTGAGTTTGCGAGTTTGTGTCTGTGTGTTGTGTGTCTTTGTGTATGTGTATGTGTATGTGTCTGTGTCTGTGTCTGTGTCTGTGTCTGTCTGTGTGCGCGTGCGCGTGCGCGTGCGCGTGCGCGTGCGCGTGCGCGTGCGCGTGCGCGTGCGCGTGCGCGTGCGCGTGCGCGTGCGCGTGCGCGTGCGCGTGTGCGTGTGCGTGTGCGTGTGCGTGTGCGTGTGCGTGTGCGTGTGCGTGTGCGTGTGCGTGTGCGTGTGCGTGTGCGTGTGCGTGTGCGTGTGCGTGTGCGTGTGCGTGTGCGTGTGCGTGTGCCGTGTGCGTGTGCGTGTGCGTGTGCGTGTGCGTGTGCGTGTGCGTGTGCGTGCGTGTGCGTGTGCGTGTGCGTGTGCGTGTGCGTGTGCGTGTGCGTGTGCGTGTGCGTGTGCGTGTGCGTGTGCGTGTGCGTGTGCGTGTGCGTGTGCGTGTGCGTGTGCGTGTGCGTGTGTGCGTGTGCGTGTGCGTGTGCGTGTGCGTGTGCGTGTGCGTGTGCGTGTGCGTGTGCGTGTGCGTGTGCGTGTGCGTGTGCGTGTGCGTGTGCGGGTGCGTGTGCGTGTGCGTGTGCGTGTGCGTGTGCGTGTGCGTGTGCGTGTGCGTGTGCGTGTGCGTGTGCGTGTGCGTGTGCGTGCGCGTGCGCGTGCGCGTGCGCGTGCGCGTGCGCGTGCGCGTGCGCTTGCGCGTGCGCGTGCGCGTGCGCGTGTGCCTGTGCCTGTGCCTGTGCCTGTGCCTGCGCCTGTGCCTGTGCCTGTGCCTGTGCCTGTGCCTGTGCCTGTGCCTGTGCCTGTGCGCGTGCGCGTGCGTGTGCGTGTGCGTGTGCGTGTGCGTGTGCGTGTGCGTGTGCGTGTGCGTGTGCGTGTGCGTGTGCGTGTGCGTGTGCGTGCGCGTGCGCGTGCGCGTGCGCGTTCGCGTGCGCGTGCGCGTGTGCGTGTGTGTGTGTGTGTGTGTGTGTGTGTGTGTGTGTGTGTGTGTGTGTGTGTGTCTGTGTGTGTGTGTGTGTGT